GGGGTGTGGCAGCAGCGAGCAGCTCCTGCAGGTGGCTGCAGCGATGTTGGGGGAGGTGGGGAGGCAGTGAGCGACAACCAGCACTTCTTTCAGGAGGTTCACTGCCAATCTCAGGGGGGTGCACGTGCATCTGTGTGCATCCCCTAGTGTTGCCAATGATTCATAAGAAAGCCAAAGCATTTGTATGACTTTGTTTTTACTTATAAGTAACCAATTATACTGTTTTTCTATAAATAAATGTGTGTTTATGTTTTCAGGTTGCTAGTATTGGAATCTACAGCTCCATCAGGAGATATGTCCCGCCCACACCACATTGCATCAGTTGTTCCAAATCGTTATCCCCGTTGGTTCACCCTCAGTCACATTGAGTCCCAACAGTGTGAGTTGGCATCAACTATGCTAACAGCAGCCAAAGGTACAGTGTTGTCAGTGAAGCCGATATATCAGTTTATGTGCATTTTTAATATTGTGTCTTGTGCAGAGTAAACTTAGATTAGAATTTAGGAATCTGAATTGTAGAATGCCAGCAACCTGGGGAATTGGTGATCTTGAACTGATTTTAAGCCTATTGCTTGTGTGCTTAGAGTTGCTAGATCAGGTGGGCAAAAACCAGACAGCTTTTGATTCTTGCCTGAGAGAGGCTATTTGTTCTTCTGAGTCACAATGTGATGGTAAGACTCAGGAATGGACAGATCGTTTCCAGAATTCTGACGTCATTAAGATGTTTTTAACTTTTACTGAGTTTCACACCAATAGGCACTAGAGGGCTATGTGCTATCTCCTGTTTTTGTTGCTATGTGATGGTGATAAGGCCTTTTTATAAGCTGAAACTCTCATACTTTGCTGTAGTTGGGGTACAGTAGTTATAGTGTCTGCACCATTAGCAAATGTTTTAGGTGAACTAATTTCTTTTGGTGATCATGGTTCTCTTTTCTTCTTACATTACAGGTGATGTTCGGAGGTTGGAAACAGTGTTAGAATCCATCCAGAAAAACATTCACTCCTCATCGCACATCTTCAAGCTTGCCCAAGATGCATTTAAAATTGCAACACTCATGGACAGTTTGCCAGACATCACTCTTCTGAAAGTTTCTCTGGAATTGGGCCTTCAGGTATTTCCTTAATTCACTCTTGCTACACTAAGAGACGGGTAAGCCTTTAGCCAAGTGCAGCCCTGCACTGATGGGCAAAGTTCTCATGGAAGTCACTGAGAATTGTACATACTTATGCAAGGTCCCCCTAAGGCTCTTATTTACTGAGATGTGTACTGTATGTTCTAATATTATAAAAGCCTGTGTCTGTCTGTCTGTCCGTAACACTTTATTCACACTCTGATTGGCTGACGAACATCCAATCAGAGTGTGAAGAAACGTTCGGACAGAAGGCAGCCTGCTGCCTTGACGGTGGGGACTCAGGAGACAGAGCAGGGCAGAGGCCCAGACCCCAAGCAGCAGGAGGGAAGGGGAAGCGAGCCCAGATTGGGGTGGTGGGGTGTGGGGCACTCTGTCCCTGTCTGCTTCCTCCCCTGTCATTCTTAATGGGCACTTGGCTAGTTAGTACATATCAGCAGACTGTAGTTTCTGTTTCAACTCTTTTTACACTATTCAGCTGATGTAAAGAGCCTGGAAAAAGCACTCCCTCAGTTCAGAAGTGCCTAGCTGCTGTATAGGAGGAGTGTGTTCAGGCTGAGATTGCTGGCCAGAGAGCAAAGTGCTTTGGGTATTCTGTACTGCAGAGAAGGTGCTAGGCAGGTTTAGGCATACATATAAATTAAAACAGGCAGACCGTGTCTGCAGACCAGTGCAAAAGTGATGTAAAACACAGAAGTCATTTTATACATCTAATTCAAGTGAATGGTTCTTTTTGCATTATGCTGTAGTGTACCAAAAGTGACCTCCAAGGCAGTTATTCTAATCTGCAAGGGGTTGTTTCTTCAAGACGTTCTGCTTGAAAGTTAAGTGTATATTTTTCGTTCCTCGTAGGAAAATGTTCTTCTAGTGGCACTTGTGCATTCCCATTTTTTAGATACACTGATGGTGCAGTATGGGCCAGTGAAACCCTTTGGAGCAGTTGGGGAACCAGCATTTTTGGAAGGCGTGCATCAAGCTAAACTCTGCTCCCTACCGTAATGACACTCCCATCATCTGCCTGATCTACTGCTCTGCTTTCTGCTCCTTGTTCAATATCTTGCTCTGCTTTCTGCTCCTTTCCCCTATCTGCTACTGTGATCCCTTACTCCTTCTCTGGTATTTAATGTACCCCACACAGGCTGCATCCAGATGAGCATGGCACATCTGAGGATGTGCAGTGGCACATCTTGTGCCACTGCTGCTTGTTCTCAGGGAATGCCCATAGTGTGCATGCTCTGGCATGTGGCAGGTTACCCTGTGTAGGGGAGGGGAGGCTGGGGCCAGCAACTGTGCTGGCCCCAGCAGCCTTACCTTTGGGTCCTGGGGGCCTTTGGGAGCTGCAGCCACAGCACTTCTGCAGCTGGGAGCCTGGCCAGCAGCTGGAGTGTGGCTCCAGCCATCCAGCTTCTGTTTTTCGGCAGCGTGCACTGCTGCCATGTGCGCTGCCCCACTTTTTTTCCAGTGTGGGTTTTTTTACTCCAGGATCTCCCAGAGTCAAAAAATGTGCAAGGTAGCAATGTGGGGAGCCCCTGCATGTGCAGTGTATGGCACCACAGACGGGTCTACGGTACCGCATATCACATGTTCACACTTGTCTAGTTGTGGCCACAGGTTTCCTGTGCCACTTATGATACATGTGCTGCTGATTGGCCACCCATGCCTTGGAGCATGCTCCACTTTTTGTACACTTATTTTGGTTCCTTCTGACCAAAGTAGCAGACAGACCTGTGTTCATCAGTACATATACTTCCTGGTTTTTCCACCCTCTGTTTTAATTGTAGTGCATTCTTTATTTTCCAGGACATTTTTCTAAGTATCTTAGTACTTAGTACTTGGTTCCAGTATGTTGGAAGGGAACCCCCCCCCCCCCCCCAAATAAACAAACAAACAAACAGACTTGGATGGTAGGCTCCTTCCCCTACCAGTTGTCTTGTTTACAGACATATGTCTTTGGCCTGACCTCCAGGATGCAAGGCACCTTTCTTCATTGTCCTTTGTGCAGTAGGCTCAGAAGCAGACAGGAACATCAGAATCTTCTCCAAATTATGCTATGACAAGAAGTATTGGGAATTCATAAGTACTAGGAAATGAGCCTTGGCTCCATCACCTAAAGAGGTTTAAAAGCTCAGCAACTTCCCAATGTAGTCAACAGCATCAATGACTGAGGTGCTTGCATGGGTGGATTCTTCAGATCTTTCCTTAGGAAGACTGAGAAGCCTTTAATGACTTTTCAGTAGACCTGCTGAATCTTACTATAGCTAGAATTGTCTGTTCTGGAGCTAAGAGTCCTTCACCATCAAATGAGAAGTCCTTTGGTTTCTAGAGAAAGTCCAGACAAATGTAACAATGTACAGCATCTCTCTTGTACTCTGCTTTCTGTACATCCTTTCCTACGCACTTTGATTAGTCTATAAGATGCAAATCTACCCTGCTTTCTACCTTCATCATCACAGACTGTCTGCAGATGAGAAGCAGAGCAGACTGCTAAAGCATACTCAGTAACTGGCTAATCTTCTGTAGTAAGGGCTTCCTCATTCCAGGAAGATCTGTCATCTTTTCTAGACTTTTAGAAGCTCAAACCTTTCATCAGAGTCTAATATTCTGTAAACTCATTCTAGCTTTTATCCTTCGCCCTTGCTCTATCAAGATTGCTGTGGGGTCCTGATTTACAGGTTTGTGGGAAGAGAGAATTTTATTAATGCAATCCTCTTCATTTGACATGAAGGACTGCCAACACTTTGGAGGATAAGAGTAGAATGCTTAAGGATCTTGATAGATTGGTGAGCTGGGCTAGAGACAACAAAATGAAGTTCAGTGCAGACAAATAAAGGTGCTACACCCTACAAAAGAATAACCAAATATCCCCAGATACAAAATAGGAGATAACTGGTGGGGCATTATGGCTGCTAAGAAGGATCTTGCTGGATCATAGATTTGACACGAGTCAGCAATTGGTACAGGTGCAGAAATGGAAATATAATGCTGAGCTGTATTGAGTGTAGATATGACACAGGAGGTCATAGTACCATAATACTTGATGCTAATTAGGCATCTTTTAGGGTATTGTGTGCAGTTTTAGCCTCTGCACTTAAAAATTATGGAGAAGCTGGAGGAGGTCCAGGGATGAACAGCAAAAATGATACAGGGATTGGAAGGCAAACTGTGTGTGGAAAGGTTGAGAGAGCTAGGTGTGTTTAGCTCAGAGAAAGGGAGGTTAACAGAGGTCTGATAAAAGTGTTCAAACATTTGAATGCCTTCCATAAAGGGAGTGAGAACAACTCTTCTCCCTTGCCTTATAGGGCAGGACCTGAAGCAGTGGCTTTCAGCTGCAGCAAAGTAGATCTCAAGAAAAAGTTCCCTACTGTCCGGGTAGTAAATCAGTGAAACAGAGTGCCCAGGGCCGTTGAAAACCTCCAGTGAAGGAGATTCTACAAGAGGAGGCTTGGAAGGGATGGGTTAGGAATAACATTTGTGTAGGGGGTTGAACCAGATAACCCTTGAGGTCCCTTCCATCTGGATGATTCTGTGCTTTCATGCCTGTGTGTTTGTTTTTCTTCTTTTTGTGTTCATTGGCTCATCAGAATGTCCTCGCAGGAGAACCTAGCAACAGTGATGTCATACAGATTTACCTTTACCACAAGCTCTGTTTCAAGAGAAAATAAAAGAAACAACACCTAATTCTGACCCAAATGACAAGTTTTATTGGGTAATTTCTGAATTTTCAAAGGTGGGCTTTGAGTCTCTTCTTTCTCCCACCCTACATGGCAGCGTTGTTCAGCATTATTACAGTGATGCTAGTTCATGTAAAACATCTCAGCTTTTTTATATTCCAGTCAGCTGTGCAGAGAAGCCAATGGTCTGTGCAAAGGTGCACATAGTAACTCAAGTATACCCTGTATCTCTGTCGCTTACAGGCAAGAGAGATTTTTATCTGTGTTTGTACAGTATCCTGTTCCCATGTCTCTGGCTCCTAGGTGCTATGATAAGGCCACGTATAGACAGACGTTCAGTTTCTACTGGGAAAATCACTGTTCTCCCAGTAGAAACCACAAGCATCCTGACATTCGAGCTTTTTCTTCTGGGCAAAAAATGGCTGCCGTCAGAGAAAAATAACTTGGGAGCACCAGGGTTAAATCACTCCTGAGAGAGTTTCTTTTAGGAGACTAAATGTCTGTACACTTTCCCCTGTCTTTCCTTTGGCTCTACTCCTTCTGATCCCCAAGAAGAGTAAAGGAACCCTGCCTTCCTGAAACCAGGATCACTCTGGTCTGGAGAAGACGCAGGGAAAAAGCTGTTCCCCACATCCCATAGACCTAGAGGGTAAGGAAGAAGGCCCCTGCTGCTCCCTGTCTGCTTCTCATACTTGAGTTCCCAGTGTAACAAATAAATAGGGGCTTTACTGGACCTCTTCCTTTGGTCAGCTGCCAGGCACCAGGACCTGAGCATGGGGAGAACTGCCTTTTGCTTCTCTGGCCTCGCTGCCACTAAGGTGAGCAGTGGGAGCAATGATTTAAAAACCGGAAGGATTGGGAGGTGAGCTTGGGGAAAGTCTCCTCACATTCTGCTCCCAGTCCCTCCAGCTTTCCCTTCCAGCCTGTGCCACTCAGCTGACCCTGATCACTGCAGGATGAGGCAGGCTGCTGTGCATGACAGCAAGGCTCAGAAGCTTTGCTGCCACAGCAAAATGCCCCCACCTCGCTCCCTACTGCTATAGTAGTATGTATACAGGTACTACATATACTGACCGACCAGCTGAACAGAGACTTAAAAATCACTCCATCTCTGTAGTAAATGATAGTCTTTGGTTGTAGATGTGTGTGGTGGTAGACTGTCCTGCAACAGGCCACTACAGGAGGTGTTGGAGGCTGTGCTCTAGTGCAGAGGTTCCCAACCACTGGGCTGTGGCCCACTACTGGGCTGTGCAAATAGTTGACTGCCAAGTCGTGGCACGAGCGCCCTACTTGGATCCCCATCTGTCTTCCTGGGTGAGCAGCTGGCAGTCTCATGTGGGATTAAAGCTAGTGGGGGTGGGCAGGCAGCCTGCTCCTGTGCCAATCCGTAGGAAAAAAAAAAAAAAAAGGTTGGGAACCACTGCTCTAGTGTAGGAGCAGACAACCCATCCTCTGTAGATGTGTCTTCAAGTGGCTCTCCTGGTCTTCTCATTTAAAGAGTTCTTAGGAAGATCCACCAAGACAGTCAAGGTTATTCTGATTATCTCAGTCTGGGTGCAAAAAGAGTAGTTCTTGGATATTTTTTCCCATATCTTCACAATTCCAGACCCAATGTTGCAGTAATAAAGGCTGATTTACCATTCGGATCTCTGGGCTGTAGTCAGTTGACAGTGGGAGCCCATAGGTCTTTGATAAATCTGAAACTGTTCTGGTCAGAAGAGGTAATAGTCAGCACACCCAGAAGAGGTTCTTTTGTAAACAATGAGCAATAATATAAATGCAGCATTCATTTCTGTTCAATCCTTATTGAAATATGTTGTTTGTAATCTTTTGAGCTCTGCATCAATAAACGTACATCTTGGTTGCCTCAGCTTCATAACCTGAACAGAGATTCTTGAGGTGGGCCGGAGGGGTCTTCTCTAGTTGAAGAACGCACATGCAGGGGGCCTCAGTCCGGTATTGCTTAGACCCTGGACCCTTCCTTTGAAATCATGCAAGAAGGTTTCATTCCGTTTCGTAAATTAAGATGGCCTTTATTTAGCTCTGTGCCCTTTAGCAGGTGAACAAGGTGCAAGTACTCATGGCTCACAGTCTTTTACAGTCTTTCACAAAGAAGACATGCTCCTTCATTTACATCAGTTTCTCCCTGTGATAATAATAGAATTCTGTTTTTAACTGTCCCATAAATTTGCAGGTATGGTCTCTGGCTTCACTTTCACTTGAGAGAAATTTAAGTCTTTTGTTTGAATGTGTCTGAGGAAAAGGGGAAATCACCTAGAAGTTTGTCTTTTACAAGGAAAGAATAAAAGTGAGACAGTTCCATCTCTAAGCCTTTCTAAGTGGTGTGGGCTTTGAATTGAAGAGTTGTAGAAGCATGTGTTTCTTCTCCTTCAAGAAAGGCTTAGAGCAGAGACTTCTTCCATGAGCCGTTTTAGACATAGTCCCATACTAGATATTGGACCATTTGCTACTTAGAGCAGCTGCTTGGAGCTTGATTAACTCATTTTGTCACAAAATGTTGCTATTATGGTCTGGTTTGTAGATAGGTTGCAGAATTAGATAAGGGCTATAATACTGCGGTATCCCATTAGGCGTGTATCCCACTGTCCAGACAGCAGAGAACTACTTGCCAAATTCCCGGAAGTGAGAATGTGCCAAAGCCACTCGAAGAAATGGTTATTTGCTTATAACTAGAGTTCTTAGAGAAGATTTCTGTATTCATACTCCCTGGCAGCCTTTGCTCTTCCTCAGCCAGGTTTCAGCTTTGGACTCAAATGACCAGGTAGGAAGAAATATAGCAGTTGAGGTGTCTTGCCCCCTCAAATAGACTCTCCTTCCGTTTTCTGAGGAGTAAGAGAGAGCTTTGGGGCTTGGAGCACTGCAGTAGGCACTCCTAAGGATCAAGTTGCTTTGCTGGCATATTCAAAGCGTAACAGAGATCATCGATGTGAATTTCTTTTACCAATGAATCACTCCCAGTCACATGCCTGATATTCTGAGTATGGACTTCGTACCAGAGAGGGCTGTTGAGATTTGTATTGTAAGACTATAATTGATAAAATGCCCAGAGAAGTGAACTCTTTGGCCATCAAGGCCAGGTATAGACATTACCTGTATGAGTGATAGGAAACTGGTTTATACCCATAACGGAACAGAAGTTCAGCACACAAAACTGATCCCTACCTGTAATAGAATAGAAGTTCAGCACACAGACTGGTTTAAAAATGGGTGAACCCAGTCTAAGATTCTTCCCCTCTTTTCCCCCACTAAAGAGCAGATGTGTGTTCTGTTAGCTACCAAGCTAAACTATGCTGCTCACAGAAAAATCACATAACTTAGATTGACTCAGGCTTTTTGAATGTTTGTACCTAGCCCTAGACTACTTTTGGATCCATGAAATTAGTTGAGGCAGGGTTTTTGTTGAATTTCAGATGCTGAAAAATGTGTGCATGCTACTTGCTTGTGCAAGAACAATTGTTTAGGTTTTTATTTCTTATATTTCTTATTGAGCAATTTCATTTTAAATCCTAGAAATAAGCCTATTATTACATAGTTGGATTCAAAATACAAGTGATCCACTCTCTCAAAAAGCAAGCAAACAAACAAACCCCTCAATCAGCCCATGTATTGGTGTTATGATGATCTTAATTTTGGGCTTCTTTGATTTGAGGATTCATACTGGAAAAGTTTAATTTCTGATTTTAAAATCCATGACAGTGTCTCCAGGAAACTAGCAGAATTAACTAGCCAACAAGTTACAACAGTATGCATCCCAGCAATGGGTGTAAAGTGGTACAGAGGAAAAAAAGTAGATGGCTGGTTTACTCCCAAATATACATTTTTTAACATTGCTATTGCCCCTGTGGATGACCTAAATCTTATTTGTTTATAACGAAACATTTGGTTATTTTTTAAAGATAAAAATCATCCTTCTAGTCTTAAAATCCACAGTTTTAATATAAATGTATGATATAGAATATGGTTCTGAAATGAATCATCCTGCTCTTCTAATACAGCTGGTTAAAATGTGAAAAATGTTGGACACCGCAACAAAATGACAATTTGGTAGGTTTTTGCCTTTCTTTAACCAAACAACTAAAGTAGATTTTTTTTTAACTGTTTGTAAACTGTCTCAGTTGTGGCAGAATTCTTTTGTGTTAAGTTTGTACCAATGCTTTGTTTTTTGAATAGGTGATGCGAATGACACTGTCAACATTGAATTGGCGACGGCGAGAGATGGTGAGGTGGCTGGTAACATGTGCAACAGAAGTAGGTATGTTTCACAGATACTGTAATAGTCCTGCCTTCATCAGTCAGTTTTAAATTATTTGAATTTTTGGCAGTGCATAGGCTGAAACATCAATCACTTTCTTTTATTTTGTAGAAATCACTTCTAATCATAGCAATTGCAAGCAAGTTTCTTAAGCACATGAGGTAATAGAGAGAGCCCATGAGTAACTTGGCATATATCATTCAGGATGTAGAATGAAACAATTTTTCTTACGCCTACATGCATCACTGTTGTTTGTGGACTTTGACATTGTGTGGGTCTGATTCTACTACCTTTATGCATGTTGAATAAATGAATAGTCCTGTTGAGTAAGAGTAAGGTAGCACTTAACATGAATTTCAATAATAAAACCTAACCTTGTAATTGGAGTGTAGTAGAAGGAGGATCAATTCACTGCTTTGCTTTAATACAGACATACTGCATGATTTATAGATCCCTCAGTTCCTTGTCTATAAAATGGGGATAATAGGATTTCCCTACTTCATGCAAGTGTTAAAAATGAATACATTAAAAATAATGAGGTGTTCAGATGCTGTGGAGATAAGGACTACACAAACTAGCATATATAGACAGTAATTTTAAATGGTGAGGAGTTGCTTCACAAAAGCCACATTAACCATTTTGTCTTTATTCCTGCCTTTTCATGGAAATGCGTCAAGTTTTGTGTAGATGGTTCAGACTCTTTTGTCTTCCAGAATCTTACGAAGTAACTGTTTTTTTTTCCCGGTTCAGGTTTGCTTGGTTCCTTGCCTTATGCTGAATGGGAAATGTAATGCTGTCAACAACTTGGAAATATGTAACTTGCCTTTTTGCCCTTAGCCAGAAAGTGTGTTTGTCTGCAAATGTTCATGCGGTGTTGTGTATGTGGTGCTTTTATATGTTAGTTACGGTAATTATTACTGAGATGATGCTATACATATTAGAGCTTTTGTGCTGTTGCCTATTGGCAAATAAAATGCCTTTTTATGACATATTAAGTTAGTTTACATATTCTGATAGAAATATCCCATAAAGAAGCTGTAATGTCGTGCAAACCACCTCTGAGACTTAATCAAGTTTGTAAAGCAGGGACTCTGTTTATTTTAAATAAAGATCTGGCACTCGGGTTATACCGAAGGGGTGCACAAGAAACACCAGAGTCTAACGGAGAAAACGAGGACCTTTGGGTGTGGTGTAAATGAGCTCACAGATGTGTGTAAATTACATCTAGCCATAATGAGGCACTCTAGTTGCCTATAAGCTTCAATTTATGGAGACCATCAGTCATTGTTCCCCCCTACTACAGCAATAAAGTGCTACTAAAGGAAGCTGCACGTTTCAAATATAAAAGCCCGTATTGCATATTACTAAGAGTATTTCCCCATCAAGGAGCATACTATTCTGGTCTTGAGGTGAATATCAGTTTGACACTACGTTGTTCTGGAAAATGTACTTGTAGAGAAAATGTAGAAATAGGAGATTAAAAAATGGTTTTGAAAAAAAGATACCAGGTTTGAAGGTTGTCTTGAGCTCCGTGGTCAGATATTGAGACTTCTTTCAGCTCTGTAACTCCAGCCACATGAGCTAGAGGTCATTGTCCACAATTGTCTTAAATAGGAAGCAAAACAGTACAGATACCACACCAAGGAAATTAGAGCCCTTATCATGTGATTTTTGTTTTCAAGCTCTGTAACAGATTTAGTGACATTGCCAGAGCAAATGCATAATAGCTGTTATATTCATGCTTGCTTTCAGTCAAGTTATCTAGTTTGGAGTTGTTTATATAAATAGCGTGTCCTTGGGTATATCAATAACCTTCTAGGCTTAGTCTGCCAAAATCAGAACTCTCATGTGGTAACTGGGTATCTGATTGAGTCCTGGTGTTTATCAGTTGTCGTTAATTCCTGCTTCTGTCTCTTGCAGGTGTTTATGCACTGGATAGCATCATGCAGAGCTGGTTTACACTTTTCACTCCAACAGAAGCCACTAGTATTGTTGCTACAACAGTGATGTCCAACAGCACCATTGTCCGTCTGCATCTGGACTGCCATCAGCAGGAGAAGTTGGCTGGCAGTGCTAGGACGCTTGCTCTACAGTGTGCCATGAAGGATCCTCAAAATTGTGCCCTCTCTGCACTGACCTTATGTGAAAAGGATCACATAGCTTTTGAGACCGCTTACCAAATTGTTCTAGATGCTGCTACAACTGGCATGAGCTATACGCAGCTTTTTACTATCGCACGATACATGGAACATCGTGGTTACCCTATGCGGGCCTACAAGTTGGCCACTTTGGCCATGGCGCATCTCAACCTGAGTTACAATCAGGATACACACCCTGCCATTAATGACGTTTTGTGGGCATGTGCGCTCAGCCACTCCCTTGGGAAAAATGAGCTAGCAGCTATAATACCTCTGGTGGTCAAAAGTGTCAAATGTGCAACAGTACTGTCAGACATTTTGCGTAGGTGTACTTTGACCACTCCTGGCATGGTGGGACTTCATGGAAGGAGGAACTCTGGTAAGCTCATGTCACTGGACAAAGCCCCTTTAAGGCAACTCCTGGATGCCACGATTGGAGCCTACATTAATACAACACATTCACGACTCACACACATCAGCCCTCGACACTATAGTGAGTTTATAGAGTTCCTTAGTAAGGCCCGAGAGACCTTCTTAATGGCTCATGATGGACACATTCAGTTTACACAATTTATTGACAACCTAAAACAAATCTACAAAGGCAAAAAGAAACTGATGATGTTGGTTCGGGAGCGGTTTGGTTGACAAAAATGTGTGAATGGGAGGTTCGGGGGAGGGAGGGAGAGGGGGGACCAGAAGGGTTTGGGG